GGGGGGGGGGGGGGGGGGGTGTGTCAGTACCTTGAGCCGCGGCGCGACAGCCTCTCCCTCGCAGGGTTTCACCCGGTGGTGGCGGCTTGTCCCACGGCTCCGGTCCTCCCGGAGGGCACTCACTGCATGGCCACGGTGCGCGGATCTGCTCGCCCACCCTCTCTTCCCTCCGCTCTTTATGGGCTGCAGCGCGGCCGCGCAGGGGGGGCGCCCGCCTGGAGGGGGGGAGGCGGGGGCCGAGAGCCACCCCCCCACGCCTCCCCCCCCCGGATCGCTGCTCCCTCGCCAACCCGCTGCATTAGGAAGGGCAAAAATTACAGCAATTCAATTAGAGGTATTTGGAAGCAGGGCGCAGGCTGCGGGGAGAGAACAGCCGCGGGCAATTACCTCTGCTGACGGCGGCCGCGGGCGGGCTGGCGAGCGGGGCTCTGGTCTGGGCAGCCTGGCCTGGCGCTGGCACCGCCGCGGCCTCCCGGGGCTCGGCTGGCGGCGGGGAATGAGGAGGGGTAAAGCGAACGGGGGTCGCTTTTCAGAAATTGGGGTACAGAAGCAAAGCTGAATGGCAGCCCTCGCCCGTCCTGCCGGGAAACGCGGAGCGCAGCTTTTCCTGCGGGAATGCTGAGACCTTCACACCCTCCCGCCCCACCAGGGCCCTGCAGCTCCCTGTGCTCCAGGCCACCTGCGGGCCCTTAAAATCCCTTTGGCTCATGCCTTTTGCTCTGCATCACAGCAAAAACAGCTCAGTTAAAACTCTTCCATCGCACTTCCTCGCTGCTTCGTACCCAAGATACCACTTTCCCTTCCCTTCCTCTTTTCGGTTATACATGAAAGGCTAGGGATGTAACCCTCCCCAGTGATTAGACTGTTAATTTACAGCCAGTTAGGTTTCACAAGTTTGCTTATCTTAGTTGTCGTTACAGCTGGCATCGGGGAGGTGCTAAATTAAATTGCAGGGCAGAGATTCCAATGTTAGTTTCCCCCCCAAATTGTACTTCTCTGCAACAGATGAGTTTATTCACTGCAAGTCCCTCAAATTCATCTTTCAGTAAGAAAAGTGTCACAGATGCTACACAGAATAAGTTACACTTCCAACTCCTTTTTCTGAAGCTGCTCAAACTTTTACACAGTGTAAAGGTGAACTTGAGTGTGGAGCCGAGACAGCTACTGAACGATGCAATTCACCTGTTGTGCAACAGTTTGAAAACAAACCATTTTTCTACTTCAATGTATCATAATGTTCATAATCCAGGCTAGAAGCAGAAGCTGTGTCTAATAGTTCTGTTTCCTACCCTTGTTTTGTCAGGAGCAATAGGGCTAGAACAGTCTAGCCCTGTCATTGGATCTCTGATCTAAAACTGTTTGAATGAAGTTAATTTCATGCAATACTTAAATACTAATGTACACAAATAGGAAGCTCAACTTTGCAGATTTCATTTCATGTATCTTATAATTTGCTGAGGATGTTCTATCAGCCATTGCATGATCCTCACAGTTCAGACTAGATACATCTGGGAAACAGCAATATAATTTTTGCAAAGTGTTGTTTTCCTTTACATTATCAAAAATGTACTCCTGGCTGAAATTTCCTTGCTTTCAACTGTTAACTCCCCAAAAGTCATTTTTGAAACTTGAAGCTTCTCCGTGACACCAAATGTTTTCTTTGTGTTATTCAAATAAACCCACAGAAGTTATATAAAGACATATGAAAATATGCATTCAAACAATATTACAGAAGTGTTAATTTTGTTATCTTTGACTATAGTTTGCTCTTTGAGTTCCTGTAAAAAGTATTTGAAACAATGTATTTTAACCTGCAATTTTTACTCCAATTTTTCATCACTATACTTGCATCTTCTTGTCAAATTACAGAGTAAAATGATCTCTTCCTCGCCACTAGAGTCAGATGCAAAAGAAAGCCTCTTTGTGTACTCAAAGGCTTAATCCGTCACTTGCCCATCATGCTTTTTGTCTAAATCTATCTTTAGGTTAGTGTCAATTAAATAATTTTATCAGTCATTCTTACAATTGATGTTCTTATTCCTTCAATTTTCCTTGTCAAGAATGCTATTAGTCTTTTTCTTTTTTTTTTTTCATTCTGTAGGAATTTTAAATCTCACTGCTCAGACAGAAGACTTAGAATTAGTCTGAAGCCTGCCTTTCCTAGCTTAGCTTGAAAAATGGCCATCTCTGTGACTACATGGTTTATTTTTGTACGGAGGTGACCCATCAGTGTGCTAATTCCTCCATTGATTTATTTGTTTTTTGGTTAATTGTAAAGGCTTAATGCAATTTACAGCAGCTCTTGGTTATGCCTAGTTCTCACCAGAGGTTGACCATCAGACAAACACAATGAAGCTCATCTAAAATTTGCTCAAGTCAATAGAACAATAAGCATTGATAACTAACCTGTCTCTAATGTCTCTAAATTGATACATGAGAAACGGGAAATACCATTTGCTGTCTCACACAACAAGATGTACTCTGGTCTATAATTGTAACTGCATTTCATAATAATTAAATGACAACACAGGGGAGAATACTGTTTTCAGCCAAAGTAAAAAGCTTTGAATTTTTAAGGAAATGATAATATGGATTAAACAAATGAGATTATTGAAACATTGGGCTTGGGAAAAAATTAATTGCATCTTTGTCACTGGAGATTTAATTTTGAGAACAAGTAAATCCTAGGATTAGACTATGTATTTAATGCTAAAAATCTCCCTTACATGCAATCAATGAAGTAGGATGACTTTTTTTTTAAATTTTATTTTTAATTAACTAAAAACATAAACCATCAAGAATGGCTACTTAGTATAATATTCAGGAAAAGCATTGCATAAAAGTGAATTTTGCAGCATATTTTGGAAGGGTCTGGAGCTGCAGTGGCTCCCTTCACTCTCAAGCTTACTGAGAGATAATGAATGAAGCAGGAAAAGGTGTGTCTGCTATTTCTGTGTTGAAGTTGTATACCCAGGTTTGGTTTCAGCAATTCACCAATGAATACTAAAATCAAATATTAAAAACTACTGCATACACAGAGTGATGTCCATCTGCATGAAAAATGAGTGAGGTTTCTTCTTGCTTCCCCAGTAACATGAAGCGTTTAGACCATCCTCTAATATGTATCCAAAATCTCTAATATTACATGATCGATGGTGATGAATTCTAGGCTTGAGAGATAAGTTACCAGAAATATTTGTCTCCCATACATTGGAGTAATTCCAGTAAAATACTGACATTACAGCAAGTAAATGCTTTATGGGGAGGGTGTCATCATCCAGCTAACTAGAAATGATTCTTTGCAGAAGTTTGAAGATGTCTATCTTTTAATCTAATTCAATATTTACCAGAGGACCAGTAGCATGCAGTGACACCAGTAACTTGAATTACTGTTTTTTTCTGCATTAGAAACAATTTTATATTTTTGAGATCAGTGTTTTAACCCTGAATAGAGAGATTTACCGTGACTGAGCATGGGGATCACAAACACAAGGCTTTCTGCGGCTAAATCTAATTCTCAGTGGGAAAGGCACAATTTTTTTTTTGTGACAGGGTATGGACACTGACAGATCTGAGCATCCAAAAGCAATGAAGCATTTCAGTTGCTGAAAAGGTTGTGAATTGCTTCACTGATCCAAAGATTTAATGTAATTTGGGTGGTAAAGGAGGACACTGTCACAGAGCTGAAAAGTTATTTAGAGTTTTTCTATCTGTTCACCAGCTTTACTCCACACTTCAATGTTTGCATTTCAGCTGTTCGTTGTTAACCTAAGAGATAAATGGAAGATACACTGTCTACATTTATCTGAAGATGACATAGGACTTCAATGTTCAACTACTGTTTTGAAAGTAGCTTGCTCTTTAAGTCTTTGAGAAACCTCTTGATTATTTTTTCCCTCACATGTATATAACTTGTTTCTTCTGTAACAGATATAGAGCAGAAAACACGGGTTTTTTTACTTAAAAAAAATAAAAAGTAGTAATAAGCGAAGGGTCATTTTCTTCATCCTTCCAAAGCCTTTACTATTGTTTTCTTCCCATTTTCCTATTTTGTAATTTCTGTAAAATGTAGGCAATTTTCACTGAGTGAATCTTTTGCCCATTTTACCACCTGCAGCTCAGTGTCAAATAGAACTAAATATTACAGATACCCTCTGAATGAAGGGCTATTTTCTGATCTGAATTACACTCATATGAACTAATAATTTCCTGTTATTACATCAATGAGTATGCTACCAGAGCTATTATTCACACCACATATATCATTGCAACAAATCTGTGAGTACCACATGTTAGATCACCTTATATATTTTAAAAATTCTTTTTGGTTCAAGAAGCACATTGATTTTAGACTAATTCTGCATAAAAGAAAGAAACAACAGAATAAAAACTTCAGAGAAAAAAAATCTGAAAGTTCATTGCTGTACACATCAATAATATTATGAGAAATGATAAAAAACACTTGGTCTTGATTCCTGCTTCATAAAACTTACAGGAGAATAATGCATCTGTCCCATTTGGTTAAAATTAGCCAGTAGGTTGAAATCTATCAAGGGCAGCTTGCTAGCCAGCACAATCACAAAAGCTTCATATCCTAAAGAAGCCAGACTAAACCAGATAAACCCTCTCTTGACGAGGGTTTATCTAAGAAAAGCAGCAAGAATTTGAAATACTCTAAGAAACACTATTTGTAAATGTTTCCAGTTCTGACAATAGTGGATCAATACAGATTTCACAGCCTACTGCCATTTCTGGTCTTACGCATCCCCAGACCACTGCTATTTGGAGAAAGTACTTACATGCCGAAGTCTCATCGCAATTCCAGGAGACCCACTGCACCAGCAGTTTTCTTCATAGGCCAAGGAGGAAGGTGGCTTCAGAGCCATTGGTCCTCTCAGAAGCAGATACAGTATCTCAACTCTGTAAGAGGCAACAGAGATTGGCTCTCAGCTCCTGCTAAGATTAGAGCTCAACTTTTTTGGGAGGCAGCAACTCTGGCTGAGTCCTGCAACAGCTGGAAACCTCTGACTCAGAGGGCAGGTTCAGGACTTCCAGGTGCAGAGGATCCTTTCCCAAGTTCTGAATTCTAATGCTTGCCTAAAGGAAGTTGGTTCTTGGCTTAAGTTTCCATTTAATTCCTAACTCACCAATTACTTCCTCCACCTTTGAACAGTAAATTCGGTGGAAGCTCACACCTACCAAACACAAGGAAGCTGGTTCTGCTTCTGCAAGATCTCAGGAGGAATTACTGCCTACCTACTGAAGAGAAATGGTAGTGAGGAGCAGTTGATGACAGCTACCTGTCTCCTGGTGAGCAACTTCTAAGGTCACAAAGGTTGAGAAGCTTTTCTTATTTAGAGGCAACAGAGTTCTGAAGTATTTTGTCTCAGCCTTCTGCTCAGTGTGAAATCATATATCTATTACATTGTTTGTTATTTTAATTACTAAGGCTAATTAAAATATGTGAATAGCTCTATACAGATGCATCATGCCATATGATGTCTTTTTTTTTTCATCACATGAAATAATCTTTGCATATTTTTGCATTTTAATGTTAAACAATCTAAAGGTTCACTGCTTTTAAAAAATCTTGCCTGTGTAAAAAATAATATTAGTTCCTTATTTGAAAACAACATCATTATAACTGAATTAGAATTTCCGTAGTGGCCTTGAAAGCTCTTAAAATGTGCTTATGAGGCATGATGCAAAAGGTTCCTATTATTAAATTACAGCGTTGCATTTATCGTAATTTTTGCCCAGGACTTGTATTTCAGTATCACTGGATGAATGAAGCCTGCAAAATAGAAATAATCATCACACATTTTCTTAAAATGCTTTTTAGAATGGAGAATAAAATGCATTAATCTATGCATTAGATGAGAGCGCGGCGGTTCCTGTAGAAAGGCAGGTGGGAAGGGCTGCTCACTCTGATGGTTATGGGGCTGCTGCCTGCTCTGCCCACCCACAGGCTCCAGCTGCAGCCCTCACGGTCACCCCAGCCAGCTGGTGGCTGTGCAAGCCTACCCAGAATCTTGAGGTCTGCAAGGAGTTAGAAGGGCTTATTATGCAGTGCTTTGAAGTTGTCTGTCAGAAGCATGGTGGTTGAGACCAGGCCTGTGCTCTGCAGCAGACAGTAATCAACTACCTGGCCTGGCTACCCTGTGAGGAGAGGAGGTATCCACCCAGTGAGAGCTTCCTATCAGGGACACTGCTGCCCAGGTGAAGGCCTGCAAGTCTAGCTGGACCCCAGATCACAGGATCAAATGGCTACAACAACATATATGCTGACCCACCAGTGGTGGAGGAAGGGGTGATCTGGGACATGTTGAGACACACAGGTCAAAAGAGATTGTACAAAGCTAAAAATTACTTTAAAGGTATCTTTTCTCACAACTGTGATTCATACAGTGGCAAAACTTCTGTTATATTGGGTAGGATATATACTGAGATCCTGATGCGTGCTGAACACAACATTTCTGATTCTCAGTGGGAACAGACGTGCTTAACATCTTTCAAGATTCCGTCTTCCATCAATATTTTTTGACATATAAAGGTGAACGTATTGGCCTTTTTTGTATTTGAAAATCTTTTCCTAATACATTTTAGTATTTTCAGTGGAATAAGGGGGAGAAAAGTCAGTATGTCTGTGCTGCATATGACCTTTTCCATGGCTTTGCAGAACAAAAATGCCAATGATGTCATGCACAAGCTCCCATATAGTCGGTGGAGGGGAAATCAATATGGTCAATAGTAACTCCACTTAAGTTAATTTAAGTACCTACATGTCGTAAGTTGACTAGCAGTCTACATTTCAGTGACTCTTTGGCTAACTATGCATTGACTGTTATGGAAGCTTTGATATGTAGCTCATCTGTAGGGACCAAAATAATTCCAGCCATGATGACAATTTTTCAAACAATAAAAAAACGTTAGAAAATAGTAGGCAGTTGTTATCTCTGCCTAATGGGGGCTAGAAGAATGTAGAACTGGGTTAATCTGCAAGAAAAAATCTTGAGGTTAGTTATTAAGAAAAACTTGCTAACTATATGGTTAGGAAAAGGATGTAATAAGAAATATAATGGTAGAGGATTTATTTGGAGGCTTCTCTAGAGACCAGGTTCAGTGAACGTGCCAAGAATAATGCATGTATGCTTAATACTCCAGAAGAGTAACACTTGTACTACCTGATCTCTCCATTCTACCTATAAGTCTCTGTGTCAACAAAACTCAGGGACAGTTCATTTCTTGGAATTATTTCAGGTATATTTATGCTATGACATAATCTGGATTTTTTACTGTTTTGCTTGATTGAGCATTTTAACTTCGTGTACTCTCCCAGCATATTCATTATCTTTATCTAGCTTCCCTCACGTGTTGTCACCTTACATTTTATCTCCTGTGTTACTTCCTCTATCATTCTTCTGCTTTGCTGTGGGATCATCGCTCCTTTTCATATTCTCCTTATTCCCGTCTCACTTTATTTCCACTCTTTTAAGTTTGTTTTCCTAAAGAAATAGAGCTTACAGTATTACTCTGCTGTCTTCACTTTTGTCCATTTCCCACACATGGTTTTGGAAAAAAAACGCTTAAAATGAAGCATGCCATCAATCATAAGGTATAATCTGTAGCAAACCAAGTTTCATTAACTTTAACGATGGCTGAGTTCCTGAATTTCTTTATATTTTCATAGACTCATACAGTAACAAAATTGAAAAAATCCACTAGAGGTGGATCTAGTTCAGCCATCCTGCTGGTAGCTTATCCCACTAGATCTGTTGCCTCAGGGCCTTAAACAGTTGAGATATGAATATCTCCGAAAACAGAGATATTCCCCCACCTCTGTGGGCCCCTGTCCTAATGTTTGACTATCTTCAAGGTGATTTTTTTTCTTCCTTTTATCTAGTTGGAATTTCCTGTGTTGCAACTTGTATCTGTTTTCTTGCTCCAAACTGTGTTTCTGATTATTTTCTTGTTTTGATATTGGATCTGCTACCTCTCCCAGCTTTGTACTTCTGAAAGAAGAAAAGAAAAGGAATGCTCAAAAAACCAACATTCTTGGGAAATGAGTTTGCTGTAGCACCCTCTCTTCTAACTTGCCTGCATTTTATTTCTTCTATTTTAACCTTCCATATCCTTTTACTCTTGTCAGTTCTTTGGGCAAACAGAAATAAATGCACAACATTTTCAAATTCACGTGTACTAGGGGAATATCACAGAATCACAGAATATTCATGGTTGGAAGAGACCTTTGAGATCATTGAGTCCAACCACAAAAAAGCAAAACAAACAACCAACAACAAAAAAAACCCAAACCATACCCACAACCCAAACCAACACACACAAGTCCCACACCCACCCACAGACAGACACAAACCAACAATCTCAGGCATTAGACCATGCTCTGAACTGCCATGTCTACACATTTCTTAAATACGTCCAGGGATGGTGACTCCACCACCTCCCTGGGCAGGCTGTTCCAGTGCCTGACCACTCCCTCAGGAAAGTAATTCTTCCTTATATCTCATCTAAACCTCCCCTGCCACAACTTTAGACCATTTCCTCTGGTCCTGTCACTATTCACTTGGGAGAAGAGGCCAACACCCACCTCTTTACAACCTCCTTTCAGGTAGTTGTAGAGGGCAATGAGGTCTCCCCTCAGCCGCCTCTTCTCCAAACTAAACATACCCAGTTCCATCAGCCTCTCCTCATATGACTTGTTCTCTAGACCCCTCACCAGCTTGGTGGCTTTCCTCTGGACACGCTCCAGCACTTCAATGTCCTTCCTGTAGTGAGGGGTCCAGAACTGAACACAGTACTCAAGGTGAGGCCTCACCAGTGCCGAGTACAGAGGCACCATCACTGCCCTACCCCTGCTGGCCACGCTGTTCCTGATACAGGCCATGATGCTGTTGACCTTCTTGGCCACCTGGGCACACTGCTGGCTCATGTTAAGCTGGCTGTCCACCAATATGCCCAGGTCTTTTTCTGCTGGGCAGATTTCCAGCCACTCTGCCCCCAGCCTGTAGCATTGCCTGGGGTTGTTGTGACCAAAATGCAGGCCCCTTGGCCTTATTAAACCTCATCCCATTGGCCTTGGCCCGTTGATCCCACCGGTCCAGATCCCTCTGTAGAGCCTTCCGACCCTCAAGCAGATCAACACTCCCACCTAGTTTGGTGTCATCTGCAAGCTTATTGAGGGTGCACTCGATCCCTTTATCTAGATCATCAATAAAGATATTAAACAAGACTGGCCCCAAAACTGAGCCCCGAGGGACACCACTGCTGACCGGCTGCCAACTGGATTTCACCCCATTAATCACAACTCCCTGGGCACGGCCATCCAGCCAGTTTTTTACCCAGTGCAGAGTACACTTGTCTATGCCATGATTCACCAGCTTCTCCAGGAGAACGCTGTTGGGGACGGTGTCAAAGGCCTTACCAAAGTCCAGGCAGACAATGTCCACAGCCTTCCGCGTATCAAGAAGGCGGGTCACATGGTCATAGAAAGAGATCAAGTTGGTTAAGCAGGACCTCCCTTTCATAAACCCATGCTGGCTGGCTCTGATCCCTTGGCTGCCCTGCGCTTGCTGTGAGAGCTCACTCAAGATGATCCTCTCCATGATCTTTCCCAGTACCGAGGTCAGGCTGACAGGCCTATAGTTTCCTGGATCCTCCTTCCGGCCCTTCTTGGAGGTGGGTGTCACATTGGCCACCCTCCAGTCATCTGGTACCTCTCATGTTGACAGATAACGGAGAGAGGCTCGGTGAGCTCTCCCACCAGCTCCCTGAGTACCCTTCGGTGAAGTTATCATATTTCTGTTTACTATCTTAATTCTGTTTCCTAGGACTTGCTTGGGGATTTTTTGTTTTCACATGGTGGAAAGAAACATTAATTCTATTTGTCAAGTAGAGAAAAT